AAGCCCTGCCCAGTACAGAGTTCAGCTCCGATCACATCATGTTGATTTCGGACTTTCAAATATTGCCTGGAAATGGTGGAGGCAATAGTGGCTTGGGGGTAAGACCGTAAGACTGCTAATTTCAGTAGTAGAGGTCGACTTGCAGATGTTGTTTGTTTGTTATTTTAAATAAATAAATGTGGTTGGTATGGATGGACTGCGTTTTTGGTTGGAAAAAGGATTTGGAAAGTGTTGGAATGGAAGCAACGTTGGAGAGTGAAGGAACGGAATCGAGAAAGGAATGGTGGGAGGGAGCCAGTACATCCTAGACATGTGACGACTTGGTGGAACGGAACAGAGAGAATCCGGAGGTTGAGAGTCAAGTATTGTGGGGCGAGATCGATCTCGAATGGGCATCCTCATTTTTTGTGGTCTACAGTACGGTACGAGCATCGTATTTTTGAAGCTCTGCGAGCTGGCGGGTCGAGCAATAATAGATATGATGTTTCATATAGCATTTCACGTTGCTGTGATGCGCTGTGCTGTACCAGTATGGCGTCGTTGGTCTTCGGTCTTCAGTACGGTGCCGGGGAGTTCATCGATTGAATAGATCCATCATTCATTCCAACCCCAAGGATATGATAGTGTTTTCGCTTTTTCACGCCAGAAAACGGGCACGGTGGCACCGGTACAGGCAGCCAGAATTGGATCTGGCCTCTCCTCCCCAAGATCTTTGACGAGGGGCGTTCTCCCTCTATCTTTAAAGCAAGGTGTGGAAACAGGATTTTGCTTACTGGTACGATCCTTGTTGACGCTTGAAAGTGGAGAACGCTTGGAGGCCAGACCCACTGGAATCCAGAATTGGATCTTGCTCTTGCGTTCTCTCTCGGAAATCAGTGACACGAGGGAATTCTCCCTCGATCTTTAATACAGCAAGGGGAGGCAACAGGATTTTGCTTACCACCTTGAATGGTTGGTCTCAACTGGATCTGGATCTTGCGTTCTCCTCTCAAAAAGAGTCGACACGACGAGGGCGCCCCCCCCTCGATCTTTACTAAAACAAGCTAGTCTAGGTGCGGCAGAGCATTTTTGCGCCCGAACTTTGATTGCATGGTTGGTCTCATAAAGTATTGCTTTGCGCCCTCGAAGCTCCTTCTCAAGAAAAACTTCGTCATCTACTTTATCATCGTTATCAAACCCTTGAAGGCCACCCGTGCATTCGTCAAGAATCCTGCCAAAATTATCGAGAACGACGCGAAGAAGATCATCAATGGCAGCCATAGCCATACTATTCCACTTCCCAATGGCGGTGCGGTGGGCATTTGAAGCCTGGTGTTACGATTCATGGTGGCAAGGTCACTGGTGGCTCGATTGGCGGTCAGTTCAACCTCTAGCTAGACCGGAAAGTAAATGCGTCGGCACCGTTCAATCATTGTTTCGACACATCATTCAATGATCGTCAGAAAAAGGAAAATGTAATGGTTGGATGTAGAGACTATTGTAGCAACTAAGAATCCAAATAGTTCACTGTCTTCCTTTCTATGAATATTACGTATGTCTATGAATCTGAACGTAGCTAAAGAGAATGATGCACTTTTGTGCAGTGGATTCTTTCGGTTGTTTCCAGATATCTTGAAATTGGCGTCATGAGCACAGATCCATCACACTTGCTGCGCTCAACACTTGATTGCTTGATTGGATTGACTTGGCTCATTGAATAGCTTAGAAAGCTCCAAATCGTGGAAGGGCGGGTCTTCCTGCCTTGATACTTCTGCTGCTCCTGCTGCTACGGATACTAGTGGTGCTCCCCAGAGATCGGGTGGAAGTTTCTTGTTGTCCTCGACGTGAGTTTTCTCGAGTGCAGATTTCAGCGCATGCTGTTGCTTGATCAAAGTTGGTTCGTGCAGATTCATCTTGACCGAAAAAGGCGTCGTGAAAGGAAGTGCCTGGTTGCAGCGTGATGGCTCTGACGCGGCGTTGTGTGCGGCGTGCTACTGTGGACAGAGACGAAGTGGAAGATGACAACGAGGCCATGTCCGAAATATCCGAGAGATCAGAGCAAGTGGACACAGAAGAGGAGATGCGACGAAGTTCAGGAGACATGATTGTAAGGATGTGCTTGTAGTGCTACTAGCTAGACTGATGAGGTGTTGGTTGGTTGGTTTGGTTTTTGCTTTGTGGCAAGTTGATTTTGTGAGAAGAAAAAGGATCTGAAGTTGGTCTCGGATCCTTCCTTTCGTGGTTCTGAGTTCTGAGCAAGAACTGACTTCAAATGATTCAGTCGTTCTCATTTAATTAAGGGTGGTGTTGACCTCAAAACTGCTCAAGAACATCGCTGTTGTTCAATGTTGATCGATTGCAAGCTGTACCTTGCCAAACATGACATCATTCAAATTGTGCGTCACTTGAGTGACTCGGCTCGACTACTAGACTCAGTCGGAGTGACTGAGTCACTCGTCACTCAGTCGAGTCGATACATGTATGGCGATGCGATCCCACACCACTCGCCGACCGTGACAGGGGAAGAAACATGAGCTGAAACATGTGTGTTGTTGTTTGATACGGCAGAGCAGAGGTGCACACCTCCACCCACTGTTTTAATACCGGTAGGAGTCGATTGAGGGGCGACAGCAGTGCTAACTAATAATAGGCTAGAAAAAAGGCAAAAGAGCAGCGGCAAGTCCCCGACTTTTTGCACAATTAAGGCACAAAGTCCCCTACTTTGTGCACGATTAACGCACAAAGTCCTCTACTTTGTGCACGATTTAGCACAAAGTCCCCGACTTTTTGCACGATTAAGGCACAAAGTCCCCGACGTTTTGCACGATTAACGCACAAAGTCCTCTACTTTGTGCACGATTTAGCACAAAGTCCCCGACTTTTTGTACGAGTAAGGCACAAAGTCCCCGACTTTTTGCACGATTAAGGCACAAAGTCCCTGACTTTGTGCACAATTAACGCACAAAGTCCCCGACTTTGTGCCACTATGCGTCAGTCGTGCACAAAGTCGAGTACTACTAGTAGCACACTTCGGTTTTCCAGTTAGTTGTGCTTTCTATAAAAAGGCATACCGGTACCGGTACATGACACAACCAATGCACTCAGACACACTTGGAGTCACGCTCCCGAGAGCCCGCCTGCCCCCAAACAAAAACTTGGAAAATTGCCTCGCAACGCACCGTTGTTGCTGACGGGATCAACCAAAGCAAACAAAGACGAGCGCGCGAAGCAACTCTGGACAAGCGCCAACAAGAATGGAATGATCCACGCCACAGATCCAATGATATCACTACAACAAAAGTGCCGATACCATGGCGAAGTCTAGCAGCAATGCCACCGCGTCCTACAAGCAGTTTCGTATCCTGATTCCAATATGTTTCTTTCTGATACTCTTCTCGATAGAACACCAGACGACACGAACGTTGTTCAGCATTGCTCGCCAAGGAATGGAGATTGGAGTGATCTTGGAAGAGCCAGAAACAACACAGAAAAACACTACGTCCACCGCAAAAGCCCGCTCTAATGATACCGAAACGTCACAAACAATCGAATATGCAAACACCAAGGACGAACTATCGACACGCACGGAACCACCACCACCACCAGCAGCAGCAGCACCAGCATCAGACGTCGAATACGAAGAGCCCCTTCCAGTATCGACGGTTGCCTATGTCATCACCATTGCATCCTGCACCTTTCGACTCAACAAAATCGTTCTGGATGCTGCTGCGGTACTCAAGAAATCCATAGAGCTGTCATCGTACCCGACTCATCCAACCGCTCGATATGCGGCCGAATTCTTTGCCATTGTCTCCACCGCAGATGCACAAGGATCATGTGCTCAAAAAGTACAATCGGTTGGCTTTCAACTACAAGTGCATGAACTGCCGGTTAAAGGACCAGAGGATATTGCTATCGTCGAAGGAGCCCTTCCTCCGGAACGCATGAAAGGAGATGGATGCTGTGGACACAACGAACTGCTCAAGTTACATGCATTTTCCTTTACCAACCATAGTGTTGTAGTGCAACTTGATCTTGATACCCTTCTGCTACGACCCATGGAGGAACTTTTCGATGTCATGATTCATCCACCTCACACGCTTGCCGGAAAATGGGCTCGGCGGTCTCTTGTCACGAGTGGAGCCATTGCTCCGACCTACCAACCAGTCGTCCCAATTACAGAAATGACCTTTGAAGCCTTTTATACCAAAGACTACAACATGGTCCCTCAAGGACAAGAGGATCGTATAGGAGTGCAGGGTGGTGTCATGATTGTCCGACCCAACATTACACGACGAGACGAATTGATTGCAATGGCAAAATCCGGAAACTTTTTTGGAGGACGCGGTGCTAGCAAGGAAAAGTCAGGGTGGTTCCGATCGGGGTATGGCTTGCACATTTACGGAGCCATGACCATCCAAGGACTGCTGGCGTATTACTACGACCTCGTCGCGCACGAGAATGCTGTCGAGCTTCATCGTTGCAAGTATAATCAAATTGTGGACAATCCGCGGCGGTCTTCCATTCATCACGTGTATCCAAGGCGGACTTCGTTGGATCCCAATGCCACTGAGTACGATACCACCTGTCGGGATGGCCGGCTCGATTGTGAGGACGTCCAGTGCCAGATGTGGCCGGTCGTGGACACTCGCATTGCCCATTACACGTACTGCAAAAAGCCATGGGATTGCACGGAGATTTCGGAAAAGCCAATGTACAAGGGAGAAGCAACCTGTCAACGTCTCTTCCAATCCTGGTTTGACGTCCGAAAGATGGTGAAAGGAAAGGAAGATGCCAAAGGATCACACCATCCTGACATTTTCAAAGGATTTTGTGACAAGAAGAACGAGTACATTCATCTCCAGCAGTAGTCTCATACTGTACAAGTTTGTGTCAAGCAAACATGAATTCAGTATTCTTTTTCGTGGTTTCAAGTCCACAAGCGACAGGAAGCCAGCCAAGGCGATAGTCGACAATGTCCTGAGAGAGGCCAGGCAAGTGAGTCTTTCTCTGTCTTCGATATACATTATCAATCTAGTAATGTATGGTAGCTCCATATATAGAGCGAGCAGAATAGGTCGAGTCGAGTGCAGTCCGTTTCTCCACCTCGCCAAATCATAGTTGATCCACTAGCAGCACCACTTGGACCAATTGGTCACTAGAGATATGCCCTGCTCGCCATTCAGTAACCAACAATTGATCAAATCGTGCACCCTGTTTGAAACGCCGGTGGCGGCCTGTGAGACATTCGCCGTTCCCGATGTTTGGTTCTGCGTTTGTGCTGATGTTTCATTTGAAACATCATTTGTCTGAGTCTCCGACGAGGGGCCAGCAATGCGAACAGTTTTGTGGTTAGATGCCAATTTCACGTGCACAGAGAAGCACGGAGCTGGACACTAAGTCTTAATGTTCCCATTCTACTAGCCGGACGAACCAACAGATGATGCGGCCCAGTGGAACTAGTGGGTGCGAGCTCATTTGGCGCGAAGACAGGAAACCCGGGAGATCTCGATCTCAGGTCTTGGAACCGTTCCTGAAATGCATGTAATGTCACGGAATGTCATGGAATGCAGAGCCTCAGTGAGTGAGATTCACAATACTAGCAGTACTAGTACCGGTATCATCACTCATCCAATTGCAATGGACGCACCTCCCGTTCCATTTCGGAGTCGTCCCTGACCTTCCATTCAAAGCCTATGGAATCGAGTCGCCGGATCTTGTCTTGGGACAAAGGCGCAGAAAGAGGACCATCCAATTTTCTCTTGTGGACTCGTTGCGTTGTGACTATGTATACCGGTACCGGTGCAGTACACGCAGACACGAGATTAACCCAGATGAACAGCAGTCAAGACAAGAGTTCAGAAACCCATGGCATGCTTCAGATCCAGCAACACGAATTTAATAAGATTCAGGGATACGCACCCCAACTGCCCAGACCAGCGACTTGCCTTGCCGATACCTGTTTGGAACTCTTTCCATTGCAACAGACAAACATATTGAACTCAGATATGCTGTATAAGCCCTTCAAACATCCGTATGCCGAACAGTATTACTGGTGACTTACCTGCAATTCCCTGCTCATACGGCATGAGCAAGAATATTTCAGTAAGACTGATACAAGAGTGTAATGTTGCCAACTACATGTAATAAGCCAAGCACTTACCATGCCTTCTTTGGTGCTCTTTCAGTATCCTGAAACAGCAGTCCCATGTTTGTCTAGCTAGAGCCGGTGGCAGTATCGGTACACGTACCACCCGGCAAATCTTCATTTTGCCCCTTAGGGCGGCCGTTGTCACAATGCGTGGTCTTCTTGCCCGTTTTCATTCTAAAAATATATGTGAATGTCATTCTCTCCATATATTATATAGTCTAGCTAGATGGTTTGTTGTTGCGAATCCCTGCCTAGCTAGCCATTAAAGGCAGCAGTGAGCTGCAGCAGATTTGTTAGGTGCGAATGAACATGAAGGAGAACGCAACCCCTGGCAACCCTTTAGCAGATGGTGCAGGCATTTGGTCAAACGCATTGGCAGGTAATATCCTCTCACATGTCTGTTCCACCTTGCTTTGAAAGATGCCATTGAAGGGGAAGCCACAGGGGAAGTACAGACAGATTCCCGATGAAGTCAGGGACAAGTTGATGATGAAATGCCCTTGAAGCAAGCTGATGGGAGGGGGGCAGGAATGGACGAAGCCCCCTTACCAAATGGTCACTCACATCCCACCAAGAACTCTCCCCAGTCCCCAGCCATGCATTGAAGGGTGTTCGCCTAGCTAGGTCAGTAATAGCTCGGGGACGATCTCAAGAAGTGGGAACGAGCCATGGATGGAGCTTGACATGCACGTACAAGTACATGTATCGCTACTGCACAGCTCATGTATGTGGTATGATCCCTACTCCTACCTGACCAGGTACCCGTAAAAGTGATTAGTTGAAGGGGCTCCAGAGGTGAGAAGGAGGAGGGTTAAGCTAGTCTGGACAAAGGCATCTAGTTGCACATGTTTTGAGTTGTGGTACTGGTAAAAGTCACCAGTCAAATGCACTCCAGAGGGGATTATGCACAAGTACATGTAGGTATGGTATGCACCCTTTTGGAAGTACAGTCGTAGCTTAAAAAAACAAGGGATGCAAAATTGCGTTATCTTAAAAATGGGTGTCGCATCGCGCGCGTTTTGAATGACGTCAGTCGCACATCACCTCTACGGCACATCCTACTGCAGGCTGAGTATGGACCATGCCATTGCCATTGCCATAGGGTACCCGTAGTGGTGTAGGATTTGTAGAGCATGCAACAGAGACTGGTACATGTAGTATAGTATATTCTATTGTAAACATGACTACAGTAATTGGTCCTCTTTCTTGGTGACTCATCGTAACTCATACTATAGTAGACAAGTTTTTGTTATGTATTGGTACTCCTAAGATCAATTGAATCTTACGTAATTCTACTAGGTTCTCAAAACTCTAAATCACCAATGGTGACACACAATACCGGTTGCCAAAGCTGTGCTATTTTAGTACAATAGACCAGCTTCTAGCACAGAGTGATACAATAGACCGGCTTAGTGATTCCGCGCCATTTTGAAGCATTTTTTAAAAAGATAAAGGGCACGAGGCTGCCAGTTCTTTTTTAAAAAGAACAAGGCTGGCGCTGTCTGTCATTGCCAATCCCAGCTGGCGCTGTCTGTCATTGCCAATCCCAGCTGGCGCTGTCTGTCATTGCCCATCCCTGTTCGAGCCCAAAACCCCACAAATTCCAGTATTATTATCGTGCTCTTTCATCTACAACAACCACCATGATTTCTCTTTCAGCAAAGCCATCTAGAAACATACACCACAGTCAGACTTCCTGCCATGAAAAAACTCACAAGAACCCTGTCCTTTGGCCTGATGGTATGGAGAACCTCGATGCCATCCAGGTCGGACACCAGAGTGGTTCAGACTGTGCAGTAAAAGTGTGCGGGAAGGAGACTTTGGTGTTTGTGGACAAGTATGGTTTTGTTGGACGTCATGAGATCAAGGAGAAATACACCATGGCCCAACTTCAAACTCAATTGCCTCAAGGGTGTGTCGGTGTTTGGGTGGTTAATGAAAATTGCCACAAAACAAATAGATGTCTCTTTGGTAGCGTCTTTATCAGTTACCGCTACAAAATCATTGGGATCATCCACAGAGCCGTGGGCTGTAACGCCATTGTCGAAACTGTCTATCCTCCACTACCCAAGGGATCCCAACAAAAATTCTGGATTATGCCAATGGATCACGAGATGTATTATTTGGAGCAGATTGGTGGCTTTTCAATTGGACTGCCATTTATGATTCGACCCAAACAATACAATGATGATGGGCGGCTTAAACCTCTCATTGATGTGTTTGGCTTTGTTAAGCTGAGCGTTAAAGGACCCGACATCGTGCAGCCATCATTCATGGATACAAGTTGCTTCGAACGGCTCATACGGGAGCTCCAGCAAAATAAGCTACTGCTATCCATTTCACGTCAACCCAAGAAATCCCAGAAACTCCAATGCCCAGTGCCGACATTGTATGTTTATGAGACAAAGGAAGGTTCAATGTCAAAAGTCCAACGACCCCATCTCTACAGTGTACAGCTTGGAGTTTCCAAAGGCACTGATATTGGTGGCAAGCATTGTCGAAAAAAGTGAGTACCACACCGTTTCTTTCCTTCCTAACGCATTCACTCGTATGCTACAATCTCACCTCTTGTCTAGATTTAATTCTATAAGAGTTGCATGGATCACAAAAAAGGTCGCTGATAAGCTTTTGAAAGTCTGGAAGGGTGAATGGCACTGTTGGAAAAAGGTAGTGCATTGGGTCGTACGGAATTCAAAGCACATCGACACATACCTTGTTCCCAATCTGGCTGAAATTGGTGCTACTAGTGGGTTCCGTATAAAATCTGTGACACGTGCTGAGTTTGCAGGTTTGAAAGGTGCTTCGTTTCATCATGGCACTAAGTTATTCCTGTTGGGATCGGAACCCAGGGACCTGTCACATCGGAAATGTGTCGGTAGACTTATGAGTTGTTGGGGTTTTGACAAACGGTTGACTTGTGAGCAGATCACTTACCCGGGTGCTTCAATTATGGTTGATTGTATGCATCGTGGCATACCACGACCAAGTGTTGGGCATTTTGGCATGAATGCCTATAATAACAAGAGATTCAGCACAGCATACGTTGCCACCCCACTGGAGGCAGTTGAAGACAAGGGTGACCTGCAAATGCATCGGGCTGAATTTGCTGGGCATGGAATGAGGCCTCAGCTCATTCGCATGTGTCATGCGCTTGAAACCGCGGCCTTGCAATTTGCTCACAAAATGAATCCTGAGGGTATGAATCTCACAAAGCATCTTTCAGGTCTCAACATTGCCACATGTGGGTTTCGGGATTGTAAAACTGGTCAAGCCAGGGAAGGTCAGCCACCTCAAAAGAGACAAAAAATCCACAACAATCCACAGTCCTGGGAAACACGTGTGCCCTACTCACCTCGACAGCTGGTTTATGGCTTTGCCAACACTGGTCATATTGATACCAAGGATCAACTCACAGATGCTCAGCAGAAGGAGCTACACAAAAATGCAGTGGATTCCCAGGTCAAGTTGAGGCAATTTCCAGGGCTTCCCACCACATGTGCCTGGCAATTCGTGTTTCGAAACACAGGAGCATCTCAGCATCTGAAGATACATCAACATTTTACCATGCATGGCTTGGGAGTCGCGATGCCAATCCAGCATGGGCTTGGCCATCATTTCTATGGTGGCGTCTTTGAGCACAATACTAGTCTTTGTTTGGTTGAATGCACAAAAGATGGCTTGGTCTCTCTTTCTAATCATGATGATCATTTTATTCTCTTTGCTTGGGGCAACAGCAAAAAGATCCCCAGAGCTGAGATCCTAGCATTGGTACAGGAAGCAGCTGAGCCTTTGGCGGCTGCTGTACCTGCCGCAGCTTTGCCACCCCCACCACCACCGCCACCTGCATAATAGTAAATGATTATTGCTCCTTTTTGTGTATTGCATTGATTAGCTACTGGTACCGTACTGTTTCCTTACTCTCGTGGTGTTGCGGTGCCATCCACCTTGTTGCTTCAGTGCTGTGGTAGCACTAGCAAACTAGAAAGAAATTGAGAACGGAAGCCAAAGCTAAATAGTACAGCTGTCTACTGCTTTCTATTACTTTACTCTAGCACTCTAGCTACCATACTCTTCATTTTCGCTTGGATAAACAAAACTGAGACTCAAGGAAGGTCCCAGCGGAGAGCCATCAGATTGGCTCGTCGAGGGCCCCAGAAGCTCAAGTTGTTTGAAGATGTCTTTACAGGATTGGGAGTCAAAAAGCTTGTCGTTAGACCTCTCTACAGGAACTAACTCCAGGATGCGGTAAACAACGTGCTAGAGAGAAAGAAGTGGCAGTAGTCCTATTTGATCTTTGGATGGCATCAACTCATGATCAATCCATTCAGCAAGTGTCCCTCAAACTGACATCGCTTTCTGGAGTTGTGGAAGTGAGACGAATGGCTGGCAAAGGTCATTCAGACGTCACAACCCTAGCTACCGTATAGCGTGTTTGCCGTAAGGAAACAGTCTACAGCCAGCTTGACAAGCTACTAGCTAGCACGTCTTATTCTTTGGCACCTTCCAAAATACCAAGGCGAACCAAATATACCGTACTAGTTCAACATGCACTGCTGTCCTACTTTTCTGTCATTTTTGTAAGACCTTCGGTCTCTTCACTCCACACCAAATGCTGGGGCATCCGCGGAGCATCGCAAACGCAAAGCCAGCGCTGGTGTCACCACTGATTCGATATCCCCAATTGTCGTCCATAGCGTCTGCAACAATGTCCAGAAGTGTTGTTATAGGTGTATCCGGGTTTTGGGCCCTTCCAAGACCCTTTCGGTTCAAATTGCAACGATGGCGAATCAATTCCGATAAATGGTCCTCCGGCAGCCCGTTGACGTGTAACAAGGTCGTGTTGTTGTGTCGAATAATGGTGTCGTACAAGGCCTGGAGTTTTGGTTTGGCATTGGTGCAGAAAGGAACCTCAAAACGCTGAAGACTACTGTTGGTTTGTAAGGCATCAAAGAGAGGTTGATACCGTGGACAGAAGTGAATGACTGTCAATTGTCGCAGATTGTTCTTTCCAAGGAGGGTGGCCAATGACATTGTGAGATCTTCCGCCACTCCGTGGTCTTTTGCCAAAATTCCCGGTCGTGTCTCCAGTACCAACTCTTGAAGATTTGGAAACGCCGACGATGAAACAAAGCAGTCCACGAGGGCTTTGAATATCCATCCTGGCAGAGGTTCTGGCAATGCGTTGTCATTGTTTGGTTCTTTCCAAAACTTGAGTTGAAGTGATTGCAGATGTTTGGCATCTTGTGCCAATGCCTGAACTAGGAAGTGCCTCCACGCATGCTGGTCTCGAACCTGCCAGCAAACGTGCAGATCCAAGTGTGTCAGTTGAGGCACTAGCTTGGCCAGTGAGGCCGAAAGATCTTGTTGTCGCCGTACTGTGGTGTAGTTTTCATAGGAAATAGATATGTGTGTGACGTTGGCACAGTACGGCAGTACGAGATCAAGTAGATCGCCGTAGGTACAATCGGAGCACTGAAACGCCCAAGTCAAGAGTCGCCCTTGCGCTTCACGCTGCGACGCTAGTATCCCTGTGCGACTGACCGCCTGAAGCAGTGCTTCGATATCTTCCAGTCGCTTTGCAGTGTGGGTGGCAGCATTGCAAAACACTAGTATGCGGTTCAACGCGGTGAGGAGTCGTTCTCCCCAGACGCTGTTACCTTCTAGATCATTGACTTTTAGCTGGACGACGAGAAAGGGAATGACTCCTCGCGCGGTCTTGTAGTGTTGGTAGCATGCAGTCTCCAGAGGAAGCTCCTCCATGATGTCGACGTGAGAGGGGGTTTCCACGGAGCGTGGGAACCTTTTGCAAAACTCTTGTATGACGTCCAACTTGACCCCGGATTCCAGCAGCACTTTCAATGGAGTCACGCCGTCAACACTGCGACATGCCAGAGACGGGTTTTCATATATCAAAGATATCAATTCATTGCCCGCACTGCTGGCTTGCGATCTTCGAAGCAGTGCTTGAAGGCGTTGATGAGCGTGTCGTTGCTGCTTCCTCTTGTTGTGCTCGTTCGTCTTGTTGCTACCACGTCGTTTGGAAGACTTTGCCATGGTGTGCCCACGCTTGTTACCGGTAGATGGTGAAGGCGATGACATCCTGCTTCATTCATTCCCTATCTAGCTAGCTAGCTTGCTGCCACACTGGCTATGCATGGAACCGTACAGGGTACCGTAGTGGTGCTCGGTAATCGGGAGAGTGTAAGTCATCGAGAATGGTTAAGACGTTCCGCCGAGGGTGCGTGGAATTAATTGTTTCAGGACTTTTCCAGTCACTGGTCTCTCCCGCCCCAGCTTTGACAGCCCACAGCCCACAGACAAGCACCAGCTCTACTAGCCAGACTCAATAAAACTAACATGTACAAGAAACGCTGCTTCCACTCAGCATTCATCACGGCAGTATGTATTCTCTCCCAACAAGGCCATCCAAGAAGCAACATTTCAGTCAAGTCAGACTTTCAAATATAGCAAATGAACAAAGTCGCAGTCTCTCCTGATCCCACTTAACCGAGTCCTGAGATTTTGACTCTTCTTTGCTTTTATTAAGCCTGGCTTCCGTAGATATCCTTCTTAGCCCAAACCTCCTTGCATGAAGAACTGTGGCTGGGCGGCATCGTCAGGCAGCAACTACCAGGTACAGTGTACCGGTATGGCAAACATGACAGCAATGGTTCCAACTGTACAACCAGAGGTCGGAAAAGAGCTAGACTTTGGTTTACTAGCTAGTATGCAGACAAGTACCGGTATACTATGACACAGTTAGTTGGATTGGAATCCATGACAAGCTTGACGGAAAATTATGCAGCCAAGCATACGGTAGCCTGCAAGCTTCCAAGCTTCCAAGTTCCAAGAGCAACATCCAAGATGCCAAGACCGATTTTGTCATCCCCAAACTTTCGCAGCTCAACCGGGTTGACACGTCAGCTTTTCCAAAAGATACCTTTTTGACAGCCGACCAACCACGATGGCCCATTCAAGTTGCGGAAAAGGAAAGCGCCAACCTCATCAGAGTGATGTGTTGCCAAGGTGGGTACGACTGTACGGTATCTTCAAGACAGACATCATCGACCTTGTCTTGTCGGATCAAGAAGCTAAGAATTCTTGACAAGCAGCCAGATCTGATCATTTTTTCCCAAATCCATTTTCTATTTTTCTTCGAAGGAGCAAGATGAAGGTTTACTTTTACTTATCAACGGTGGCGTCTTTGACGGTGTTATCAGGATTCCATGTCATCCCAGTGACTGCCTTTGTGGTTCCCAGCAGCTCCTTCAGCCAACAAGCCCTTACTAATGCCAATGCTATTAGTAATGCTCAGACTGCTTTGAGCTTGAAAAGTTTGAAAAAGTTGACAATTTCAAGTTCTCCTGTGCTCAGACAGTCATTCAGAAAGCAGAATCTGAAGACCACGGCTCTGTGGGAAAGTACGACCTCCAGCTTGGACCAAGATCTGCCAGTTCCGCAGGATCAGCCATCAGCCCAAATGGTCAAGTTTCGCAAATACGCTCAAGCATTTTGCAATCTATTTCCCATTTGGACACTCCTGACTGCGGGCACAGCATTGGCTCGTCCTTCTACCTTTCTCAGTATTCCTGCCAGTACATTTCCAGCACAAATTGGAATGCTCATGTTGTGCATGGGAATCTCGTTGAAACCAAGTGACTTCAAACGCGTGGCTCAGAGACCTGCTGCTGTTCTTTTAGCATTTTTGGGATGTTATGGAGTCATGCCAGGATTGGCGTTTGCCATTGGAAAAATTATGGGGCTCTCACCACCCTTGGCAGCTGGACTCGTACTGGTCTCTTGTATTAATGGAGCTCAAGCCAGCAATCTTTGCACGTACATTGGACAAGGAGATTTGGCTCTATCCGTACTCATGACAACAATGACCACCATTGGAGGTAAGTCCATCGAAAGACAGGCAAATAACGTGAATATTATTATTGTATTGACTCTCTACTCACTCCATGTTTGCTTCATTCGCTGTCTGCTAGCCATTGTCATGACACCACTCATGGGAAAACTCCTCCTGGGAACGGTTGTACCCGTCAATGCGCAAGCCATTGCTCTCTCCACAATTCAAGTGGTGCTCGCACCCATCCTTGTTGGCATGACCTTCAATGCAAAATTCCCAAACGTGGTGCAGAAAATCTTGCCTTTTTCACCCATTCTAGGTGTCTTGATCACCTGTCTCTTAGTAGGTGTCAGTGTTGCGGGGTGTGCTGGACCCATCATGTCTGCAGGATTCCAATTACAGGCATCGGCCGCATTGCTTCATGCACTTGGTGGAGTTGCTGGATACTTTCTGACCAAACCATTCTATGGAGAAGACATTTGTCGAACATTTGCCATTGAATTCGCTATGAAATCAAGTGCCTTTGGGTACCTATTGGCTACACTACACTTTTCCGAATTTGCTGTCAGGGTTCCAGCAGCTGTCAGTATTGTTTGGATGACTTTGATTGGATCCTCAATGGCAGTGGCAAGTCGATTCTTTCCACCGGCGGAGTGTGTAGTGCCGGATGAAGAATAAACAAACAGCAGGATACTACACAATCTACGACAATGTACAGACCCATTTGTGCTGGGGTATGCTCATGTCTACAAACCAACCCTTTAGAAACAGGCATTTTTTTGTAGAGCTAGTAGATAAGAGAGTGTGCTAGCAGCTCTACCCCAGTTGTGGTACCAGTACCCATACTTTCACGGGACTAAAAAAGTTCTTGCGTTTTCACATGTGAGTTTACCATACTATGTAAGGACCGCGAGAGTACCACCCCTTTGCCTCCTTGGGTGGCAGCACTCTCACAATCGGAACACATGCATACCGGTATGCAGGTGGCCTCGGGCGACTTGCCTTGGTGACTTTGGCTAGTAAGTCAAAGACTTGCTTGGTGGTCTCACTAGACTAGGAGCATGTGATAGATTACTACTAGTACAGTGCATGTAGCTACTAGCTTAATAGATTAAGTAGAAACTATGGAATTGGCAACCCAATCCTGTAGACCAGTACATAGCAACAAAGCTCGACAAGGTGGTCTCTTCAACTATTATTAGTTAGACTTGCTAGCTACATGTAGCAAGATCCACTTTGTGCACATTACATATGGATTGTGGCATGTTTCCGATGGATGTGCTGTTTTCCCAGCTCCGCAGTCCTGTTCTGCAAAATCCCTTGCCACGCCATCTACCCCTCTTTGCTGTAATCAGCCACGGGGGTGCAAGCCGGAACAAAGCAAAGGAAGCAAAGTCATGGAATTGTTAGAGTTGAGTTCAGGGCTGTATTTGCCAGAGAGACTTTGGTGCCATCAAAAGCCACTATGAAGCAAACAGTTACGCCCAATGGAGCAAATCCAAGGAACCTTGTTCGACAGAACATCCTTCCACATGGCACACTGGTTGGAGGCATCTTTGCAGGCAGGGAAGCTGGCAACTGTGATGGTTTCGTTCCATGCTGGAATTGATAGTCCTGGTTCATTGATGACTGCACAAGACAGTGCTTTGCCCTTGCACAACCTGATGTCTGCTGCAGCCATGGAATTGAGGGTCATCGCTCAAGTCCAAGACCTGAGGACCTAGCTAGCTAGGCATCGTCATGTCGTTGATGACTTCATAAGACAGAGTCAGCTCGGAGTAGCTAAGCATCTTGAACTGTGGCTGATGACATTTTCCCATGTACCGGTACCATAGCTGTTGACATTATGATCAGTTATTTGTTCCTTTGGCTTTGAGAGGGCGAAGGGCTCATTAGCCTGAGTTCTTCAGCTGCTCGGATGCTCAGGTTTCTGTGGCACGTGTTGGTCACTGTTGTGATGCTTCTTTTCTCTTCTTCAGCTCTCCTTCTAAGTCCTTTCATCTAAATGAGTAAACCTCTCACACACATACATGTGTCATGGTGATGCTGCAGCTGCCGCTGCAAGTGTTGGGATCTGAAGGGCTTGAATTCGAATTCTCCCAAATTTAATCTTGGTGTCATGTTTAATTATGCTGAAATGCTGATTTCTACCAAGACCAGCATTTTCTAATAATATTTGCGTATGGAATTTGAAAATTGTTGGGGTTTAAATTATGGGTCATCCCAACAAAGTTGCCAGGTCAGTAGGACACACTTCAACCTTTGAACCACGAGCCCACGTGAAGGTCCCAATTGCAAAAAGAATCCATGAGAGCATGAGAGCTCCATGAGACACGAGAACCCTCCCTTTGGAAGAAGGTGGACATCCTGAGTAAATTATTGATAGGGAGACTTACTTTACACTCTTTGGGCGTACTATTCTTTCTACACGAGGCACCGCAGCAGCTACCGCAGCACAGTCTTCAAGCTTTCTTTGGGCAATTCCCGCGGGGGTCCTCCACGACCAGCTCCTCCTTAAGTCCTTTCATCTTTCTTGGTAAACCTCGAACACACATGGTTCTTTTGTGGAAACTGGCAACCAAGAATGCCAATTTTCTGGTATCCAATCTACGAAATCATGGTTCATTTGGTAGGAAAGCTCGCTCTCGAGTTGGATCTTTGATTGATTTTGGCTTTCATCAGTCCAGTTGGGATCACTTTGGTTTTGCTCACAATCTCCCTCCCTGAGAAACAGCAAGCACCCAGCTTCGTTGTTTTTCTTGGTTCTCTCTGCAATAGCAATCAAGCAAGTTAGTCTAGCTTCCTTTCCTTTCCTTTCAAACTCACGATCGAGATTGTGCGTGAGTTTCTGGAAGCCTTCCAAGTCGTCCCTTTCTTCCATCAAGTCCATCAAGTCCTCCAAGATCAATCAAGTCCTTTGTTCTCCAAGTTCTCCAAGCTGTCACGAAGCTGTCCCCAAGATTGATCCAGTCGACCACCGTCACACCATGAAGATGGCCAAAATGTACACCCTAGAGGACGTTCGCAGCCGCGCGTCCTACTCTGCCAAGTCGGCCACTGACAAGATTGAGAAGCAGCACAAGTCGCAAGCATTTCTAAATCGCCTTGGCACCTTTGTCCGCATGGTGGAAAAGCCAAGCAGCGATGTTTCTGATGCAGCCCTTTACAACTTCCGCAAGCGTAACTGTCTCCCCGCCTTTGATCGGATGTTCGACAAAGGAGCCATCGAACGCAACAAAGCCAAAGCAATCATCAACATCGACAGAAGCAAATGTCGGTACCAAGCGGAAGACGATCCCATTAACCCGGGAAACTTCATCATCAAGTATCGGAACAATGAAGAAGTGGGAACGGAATTCTTGCGATTGACAACAAAGTCTGTGGAGCTTGTTGAAACCATTCACTGTGGATTCCTCGACGGAAGCATCAACAAAGATTTCACCATGAAACAGCTCACTGGTTTCCTCAAGCACAACATTCACTTTGACGCCACCCATGAGCTGCCTTTGGTGCTATTGGATCCCGAACAGCCTGACGATGATGTCTTCGTGACCATGGAGAAACTCATTGACAATGATCGGTACTTGGCGGCCTTGCAGTGTCTTGCTATGAGTGATGTCTACACCGGGGACATGGGGGGTGGACGCAACAAGTTCTCTGATGAGTGCATCAAAGCTATAATCCAAGTCGTTGGATTGATTTCCAATGCACTCAAGTTGGAAGATGAAGCCGAACGCCAACAAGCATTGGATCAAGCGGAAGAAGTCCGAAACCGTCTCCATGGAGAAGTCAGTGGAGGTGTACCGGACTTTAGCTTCTTCTTTTTTGTGGACACCAGCCAGCTGCGTTTTCAGACGGATGGTTGTCGCAAAGTGCTTTTTCGCCGTGAATGTCCACAATCATCTCATGCCAAGAAAATGGCACCCAAAACAGGGTCGAATATGTTGTTGGTAGCTCTGAAGGCTATTCTCGACAGCAACAATGGCAAGATTTCTGAGAGTGTTGCCCTGGTTCTCCTTGAAAAGTCCTTCGACATTGTCAATGTTCATGAGTTCTACCTCCTATTCAAGGACCACCCTGCTTACCACGAAGCCTCTTGTACTCTTGCGCCCCTTCCATCACGTACAACAAACCAAGATGATCTTCCTGAGTTGAAGGTTGGTTCTGTGTCATCTGTGGAGACTGTCAATGTCAATGACGATGCCATTGATAATGGGACTGTGGTACGTGATGGTGTCATTGACAATCAGCTTCAGTTGGCATTCTTTGAAGGCGAGGAGCACACAGTTACAGTTGACCCCGTTGAAGCCAAAGCCAACTTTGGTCGAGAGCTTGCCCTCTCTCCTGGTGAGCGTGACAATATCAAGTTGATGCAGCTCTCACAGATGGTTTGGATTGCTGGTCAGCAAGGTTCCGAAAAGACTCGGGCAGATGAAATCAAGCGTCGTGACCAGAATGATCACAATCGTTTGATGCTGGATGCAGCTCGCTTGAAGGTGGAAGCTGATGCCAAGAAAGCAGCAGCCAAGTTGGAACAAAAGCGTCTGAAAGCAGCAGCCAAGGCGGAACAAAAGCGTCTGCAGATTGAAGATGATGCCAAGAAAGCAGCAGCCAAGGCGGAAGAAAAGCGTCAGCAGATTGATGCTGATCGTTTGCAGCTTGAAGCAGATCGGGAGCAGCGAAATCACAATCTCTTCGCCCAGTTGCTTCAGCAAAACCAGCAGTTGATTCAGCAAGGCCAGGAAACCACTAGTGTCGTCCGCGCCACCTACAAGGTTGTCACTTCCAAAAAACACCGACCACCCCATGTTGAGCAGTTCAATCAAGAGACCATGCAATCTATGGAAGGCCAAGTCTTGTTCCATCAGGGTGCTGCAGGCACTCCAACTGCTCCTAACAACATGCAGAGTGGTGTGCCATCATCTGCTGTTTCCTCTGGCGACACCTTGCAGCATGACCCTGATACCGAACTGTCCATTCCTGGTGCTGTCCCTGCTGAAATGCCTCCCATTTCTGCCCCCAACCCACCTGGTGCCCTGACTGAGGTATCATGTACCGGCATCTCCACTGGAGAAATCACAACACCACCTCGCGTCCAATCTCTTGCCTCTGGGATTGGTACACAAGGTAACATTCGAGTTGTGGTCGAGACTGTCACTGAGAGCCCTGCTTCATTTCATTCTTCGCAGTCGCACTTCAGAGATTCCAACTTGACTTTTGCTGCCATGAATACTGGAGACATCGACACTTTGATGCATGGTACTGAGTCTGGGCTGGAAAATGATGAAAGTGGCAACAAGTCCACTGCCGAATCCGTTGACGAAGTGATAGATGGCAATGGAAGTGTTGCATCCAGTGATGACAGCAAGAGCTCGGTCACGTCCAATCCCAACAGCCATTGTGATGGAAGTGCTGCATCCAGTGATGACAGCAAGAGCTCGAAACCGTCCAATCCCAACAGCGATGGTGATGGAAGTGCTGCATCCAGTGATGACAGCAAGAGCTTGGTCATGTCCAATCCCAACAGCGGTGGTGATGGAAGTGCTGCATCCAGTGGTGACAGCAAGAGCTCGGTCACGTTGGACTCCAAGACTCTCAGTGTCAAAGTTGGCTCCAACAAAGAAGCGTCTCTTGAGGAGCATTTTACCCCCATGTCTGGAGAAGGCGGCAACACAGGTGAAGAGGTGCCCACCATCGTCATGACTCACGCTCCCATGCCCCCAGACACTATGAGTGGAGGATCTCTGAAGGACAGTGAAGAAGATGATGCCAAAGTTGAAGAAGATGGCTCAATCAACTCCTCTGCAGAACTGTCCACAGCAAAGGATAAGAATCAGAAGACCAAGAAGACAATTGTCCAACGCATATATGGTGGATTCAGCATATTTTCTCCATTTGGAAAGAAGGAAGAAGCTGAGCCTGAATTTCCCACACCTGAGACAACTTCTCCTACCGGTACCAGTACCCAAGGTGGAGGAGATAGTGGCAGTGCTGCTGGTGCCCCTTCCAGTCCCAAACCCAAGAAGAAAGTTGCTTTCCGGTCACCTGGAAGTCTCGCTCGAACCTTCCTTTTTTCATCCTTGGAACGTAAGTCCTTCTGCTCTGCATTGTCACGAATGGTGCTTGTATCTGACACTTTGTTCTATCCTCATTTTGCTTTAGCTGAACGTGAAGAGCCTGAAATAGATACAGTCCTGTTCGATGGCAAGCAACGACTTGTTATCAATGGATTTTTGATCCCTCTAACAAAGAAGGGCTCCCCATGCCAACACTGTGAAAATGCCGCAAAGGGAGTCAAGGTTTTCTGCGGCAAGCACCGCAGCAAGGGAACAAAGGACCAAGCAGCCTTCCATGCTGCACGAGAGTCGGCAAGGAAACGACTTGATGCGGATGTTCTTGGGGACCCAGAAAGCCGTTCTTTTCAGAACGTGAACCCACAGAACATTGATGGTGTAATGTTGCCTCCATCTGGGTTTGATAGGGTGGATTGAAGAGTGAGACCTTTGTTGGCAACAATATTTAGCGTAACACTTAGCTGCTTGAACATTTTGGTTGTGTTGCTTTCTGTTTAATAATAGTTGTAATGTTGTTTGTGGCTGTGCTCTATCTAGTCTCATCTATTGCTGCCAAGCTTGGCTGGGTTAGGGGTGCCCTTCACCATGGTCTTCTGAGTCATTGTTGTGTTTGTAGTAGAACGCTGTTTTGTCATCTTTCAAAGGGATTGGTTCCAAAAGGTCATCGTCAACCTCTAGGCCAAATTCAGAATCGGACTCGGGCTCTGGATTGGTACCAATGCCGGTAACTGCAGTGATGGCATCATAGATCTGACCAGCATCTGGAGCATTGTGCTGTGGATAAAGAGGCATGGCACTGGCTCTGCCCTGGTTTGGGTCCCCATAAGCAGGTGGAAACGGGTCAGGCTCTGGTATGGAGTAAGAGGAAGGGAAGGGCATTTGACCCAATGGAAGCTGCTGATAAGGTGCTGGTGGGGGCATGAGCAACCGTTGCTGAGCGATTTGGTTGAATCCATGTGTGGACGGGTTGGTGTTTGTGATCCTTGCAGGAGGTTTCCCATCACCAAAATCATCCACAGGAGGGCTCATGTCGTCACCTCTTCCAGCTGGTCTTGTTGCCTCTGCTGGGCTGTCCTCTACTTTGATGTATCCCTTTTCAATGTGCCGTTGTCTTTGCTTGTTGTCCTTGCTGCTGGCGTATCCACTTTTGCGCCCCAGAGCATCCCGAAATGCCTGCGCCACAGCAACACGTGCCACACTGTCCTTGGGAGCAATCCAACGTTTAATGCGCCGATCCCACTTGACGAATCCAAAGTTTTTCACATCTCCGCCCCACCGACGAACTTCAAAGAGAACCTTGGACACGACGAGTGTTTTCTGGGCCTTGTCTTGTGCATCGGCGTAATCTTGCGTCTCCTGCTGGACCAGGCTTCGAAACCGCTTGTTGCCGACGTGAGCGTTGACTTTCTTTCCCCTTCCAATAATCACTTCGTTATCAGAAGGCACAAAGTCAATCGGAAGGATGAGGGATCCGTCGTCAGTCCGACTCGAGCGTGAAGAGTCCATAATATCGAGGTTTGCTTTCATATTTCGCTCTTGTCGCGTCTAGCTAGCCTAACCGGTACACTGAAGTGTGCGGAGCTCTGAGTTCGAAACGAAGCTTTCAAAGAGAAAAGCAAGTATCTTTTGTGACACTCTATCTTTGTCGCAATCTGAAGATCCATGTTCGCTCCTTTTGCTTGACAAAGCAGTGGGCATTGACGACATGAAGCGCAATGGATGTTCGCCACCGGTACGAGCAGATGCACTCTGGTCTAGCTCGTACAATGTAGTGGGTCCGATAGCTCTCCGATGGAATGAGAATGATTCGAACTGATTCGGACTCATGTACCATACGGTAGCTTGCAACATGTACCGGTACCATTCAACCCATCAATTCGCAAAGGAACACGATGGAGAAGAGGGCTCCTTTGTTCCTTTCAGCTGGACTCCCGGGGAGGTGTGTAAAAGCTTTCTACTCTTGAATGCTTCCGTCAAAGTTCAAAGCTGGATTTTGGGAGGCTTTCCACTTTCCGCTTTCTTCAGATTTGCCAATTTACTTAGGCTTCAGCTCGTGCCTTGTCCATGGGTGCTGTCTTGCCGGTACCGTAGCCATTCCTCGGGATAACAGCATGTACCGTTGTCGTGGATGGGATCTGCTGGGACGACTAATCGCGTGAAACTTGAGTAAACATGGATCAAAGCATTATGCAGTGCACGTCTCAAAGTTTTAATGGAACTCACCGGTACGCACATTCAGGGTTCTCACTGGTAAAGGAAATGGAAAAATCTTTACCGGTAGGTGGATGGAGCTGTTGAAGCCTTATCGGTGCTAGCTATTAATAGTACATCGTAGTCTACTTGTCCATAATACCCCCCCCCCCTCCACTCAGCTGTGCTTCTTGCTTCTTGTATGCACGCAGAGAAAGAGTTCACAATCCAAATGCCATTAATAAGCGGCAACTTATGTTAAGCCCCCAAGCCCCATGGTCGCAGGTGTATCTAAACAACTGTCCGAGGCAGAGTAAAGTAAGTCGCCGGTACAGCAGGAAAGGTCCCTTCCATTCGATCTATCAGGAGCAACTGGTACCGTTGGCAGTGACCGTATGTGCACTGGCTTTGAACGTCTTCGAGGGGGTTTCGCATTATTCCTTCTCCTTGAGTTTGATTCCGCCTCTGAGCATTCGAATTGCACTTGGCTTTCTTTGGTGGTGATGTGGCCTTCACTGAGTGACAGTGGAGTGACAAGTCGAGTCCAGTAGGATTTCACAAGTACGTGTTCACGAGAACAAATCGCCCGCCGCACTTCCATTTTGGCCCGCAAGGTACTTTACTAAGAGAGTAGCATAATTGTCCCCAAGCTTGTCATTGATTCCAACGGTGCCACAGTACTGGTACCAGTTGTCCACGTACACCAAAGTCTCATCGCTGACAATAACCGAGACACCGAGCCTCGTTTGTTTTGTTTTGTCATTGGATTGATAGGGATGATTGCACCAGCTGAACCCAAAGTCCTAGAGTTGAGGTTTGGTGGCACGCGATTTGATGACCCCACTGGAAGGGCCTAACTGGACAGAGGTTTCAGGCATGAATACAATAATCCTTCTCTCCCCTCTGACTGTAACTTGACTATTTAATTCAAATAGATGCAGTAAGTAGACTGTCACTGTCCTATTGCAAAGTTAGGAAAAGTGGGGACAAAAGGCAATGTGAGATGGATTTGTAAGGTTGGGCCACATGCACATGCACAAGAGAGCAAGTGCCATCTCACCTCCTTTCATCTGGTAGTGGTACCGGTAGTACGGTACCGGTATGTATGGTGTCACTTGACTCCACTGGACTTGACTCTGACTCTTCGATGGTACTGTATTAATAGTAGGGATGGTGGATCGTTGCACGAAGCAAAGAAGAGGAGATTGCGGAGCGCCATCCAATCAAATTAAATTAAATTCAATTGGATTCGATTCATTTTGTGTGAGAGGAGAAACCACTGGTGGTTTTAGTCCATCAACACGAAAATCATCTTGTTGCTGTTCATACATGAGTTTCACCCAGCCAGCTAAATGGATTAATACAGTTTGACTCATCCCAATAATTACATAGAGGGGTTGTCAACACTGCATGTCCTCACACCAGGTGGCTGTGAAATATCACTAATGGTCTTGGCAACGGCGGCTCCTTCTCTCCCCTCTGACTCGGCTTGATAGACTAGTAGATCTCGTGTTGGTTCCATGCAGACAGACAGAGTAAGAGTCGTCGCATCTCGTACTGTATTGGTTATTGGTGGTACTAGTACATGTACATGTACCGGTAGGTGGTGTGGTAACGGTGGATACAAAACGAACGGTGAAGGGAAAGAAAATGAAGTGACCGATTTGTGAAGGTCAGGAGAAGCTGCACACCGGCACAGTACATGTAAATTCAAATTTTAAAAATGAAGAGTTCCTTAGAAGGGGAACATGCTCCCCTCTTCCCTTGAACACAAGAACCTAATCATGACTCAAATAACATGATACATGTAGATGATGAGCTACTAGTATAGATGATGGATGTGGCTTGTAAATAGCGTCCTACAGTGTACACTGTACCGGTACATGTAACTCCAAGCATGGAAGGAGCGATCCCCATGGTGCTTTCGCAAGGGTTTGGATAGGTGAGAGTTGCACTTGGCTTTCTTGCTTCATGGTGAGGTATGTAAGAAATAAATGAATTATTATGAAAATGAAATTTTAGATGCAAATATATAGATGCACAATGAGCTCCACAAGAACCCTTTCAGTCACTCTGGCTAGATGTCATGCAGGGGCTTTCTGTTGAGTTGCTCAGGTACTCCTGGTTCTTTTCCTCCTGGTTCAGTCCTTTGCTTCGAGCTCTTTTCACTGTTGCTTCGCAGATTCATCTCTATCGTGATGGCCAGAACATCCTTACCTTGTAACCTCATTGAGTGTCCTTTATGTTCCCTCCTGCAAAGATGTCAATAGCACAATGGAAGCCATACGCGAGCACGTTACAATCCCAGCATTCTCAACGAGACTGCTTCGGCCTGGAAGTGCGCCAACAACCACATCATGTTACTTGATGGCTATATTGCAAGGGTAGAGCTATGTCTCCAGATAGGTGTCGTCATCAATCATTAGCAATCTTTCATCCCTTTCAGCAGGCCAGCTATCATAGCAGGAAGAAACTGGGTTGGTGAATTCTTCCAGCTGTTTTCATGGTCAAGCCACTTAGCTATGGAAAGACGAAGAAGCAGGGTGAGAAAGGTAATAATACTAAGCATTAGTATTGGAAGTCCCCATGTTGGGCCCTTTGATTTGTTCAATTTCCTCCTCATCTCTGCAACCCAATTTAAATTTTCTATGTGCCGTTCACCGGGCTCATCGTTCCTCCACATTGCTTCATTCTTCAAAGTACGACTATGTCTGTACTCCTGTACCAGTAATCAAAATAGATCAAAATGTAAACAGCTCTGTCAGCTTGTCGAGACTTGATAAATTCAATTTCAGCAAGCATCACAACAGGAAGCTATGGGCAAGGGCCTGCTGCCGGTCCATCCACAATAACTCACTCCGAGCTTGGAACAGCATTGAATTGGACGAACCGTGATGGATCTTTGTGCACTACGCTAAAAGCTAGTGTAAAGATCTTTCGGGTGTTTTGAGTTTGAGAGAATGAAAGTTATGAGAGAGATTAGAAAGCTATGAAAACTAATCAACGAGAGAGATCACCATCAAAGGATCTTAGATCTGGTCTCCCGCGGGAAACTATAAAGTGTGATAGAATCCTACTTATCTCCACGATCCTAAAACGGAACGCGTGGAAGATTTGTCTAGCATGGATCTAGTAGCATAGAAGTACTCCACACTGGCTAAATATCTAGAGCGATGTTTCATCATCAACCTAGTATGACCAGCGCGGTCATTGAGAACCCTGTCTCAAATGACTATTCACGAGAGACTCAGTCATAACTCAAACCCTATCTAGGATCGAGTCAAGAATAAGCATTTGCCCCCTGACAAGGGTCACAGAAGGCGCGACAGCAGTAGGACAAGGAGAACATATGATTTAAAGTGCGGGCACTCTCATGACATTGGATGTAG